ATATATATATATATATTATTTTAATTTTTTTTGCTATCTGTTTTGCTGTTTAGAGTTCCCCTCACTTCCTGTCTGGTATAGCGTTGTCAGTAGGGCATGGTGAGAGGGGAAATCTCTCTAAAGGAGCTCTGTATAGCACCAAAAAGCCATCAGAAGTTCTAATTCTTTCCTGCTCTATTTAACACTTAGTGGACCTTACCCCCCTTTCACTAAAAATCACCTTAACATGCACCTCTGCATGCTGATATAAAATCATCTAACATTTATTAGTTAATATTTGTAAGTAAAAGCAAAATATGTTTGTTTTGACTACTTCCTGTGCCCAAGTGTCACTTCCCAAGTGTCACTTCCTGGGAAAATTACATCAGCAGAGCATTGCTGGGAAATTCTCATCACACAGTATCTCAGGGTAAGGCGTTTTCCTCCCCTGAGATGATGTGCATGGTCACATGTCCTAGTCACTTGTGCCAGAATTGCAGGACGTAAAGGGAGATATAATAATCTGCCCTTATTAAAAATGGCCACTGAGAAGACTGGGGAGGAAAAGGGAGGAAAAGAAAAATAAGGTATGTAAAGAATACATAGCTGGGAATTATCTAGAACAGTGGTTCTCAACCTGTGTAACCTCAGGACCCATATTTGTCCTCGGTCAGTAAGTCGTGACCCAAGGCGCATTGCAATGGAGCGCACGGCAGCGTGGGCTGCTGTGCTGTGATGACGCTCCATCCATAGGTGCATTGCTTGTGCAGCACACGTGCTCCTGTAGAGGTGCCAGGAGCCAGAATGTGATGTCACTCCAGTCCAGGCACCTCTACAGGACATGTGAGGGAGCTATAAGCAATGCATGTATGGACGGAGCTCCTTTGCGGCCATACCCCCAGCCCACCTCACCTCAAACTGATTCTTGCCGCTGAGCAGCATATTTTGAATGGCTGCTCAGTTTAAGAATGGACAGTGCTGGGCTAGAGGGGAGGCTGAGGAGCCTCTCACCCAGAAAAAGTGGAAGGCATGCAGCGACCCACTGAACACTGGGTCGTGACCCACTTTTGGGTCACGACCCACCAGTTGAGAACCAAGGATCTAAAAGTATGTTTATAGATTGTCATTACTAAATATTTCAAAGTGCCTTTGTTGTCATTTCAAAGATACGGGTAAAGTTCCTCTTTAAGCTGGTCCTACACGGCTCACCATGCAGGCAAAGGTTTCTTTTGTTCAGCCCACAGCCTGAACAAAAGACAATTGATGGATTTCCCCATCCACACTTTTTTTTTTGTCTGTCCTAATGGCCAATAAAATATTGAAAGAGCAGGATGAATTTTTTTTTTTTACCGACAAAATTCTTGGTGAATGTGGTTTTCATTCAGCAAACTCACTTGAACATTCATTTTATTTTTAATTTTTTTTTTCTTCCAGTGATCATGTTTTTTTTTTTTCCTGTTTGTATTTGTTTTTGTCTTTTTAAACTGCAGACATTTAGTAGACATACAGTAATTACTTTGCCTCCAGCCTCTGGCAGGAACATCTAAGACTGGGAGCTTGATAATCTCATTGAGATATTCAGGTCATGCTGGCATTAAGTGCTGCTTAATAACCAGAGAGGTTCATCTAATTCACAGAAATTAACCACTTCCCAGCATCCGCTTTCTCCAGGGAAGGCGAGTTTATGGCGTGCCTTCGAAAAACTGCAGATGGCACAAGTTTTGTTGACCAAGCAAATGCACACGAATGGAAGACGCAAGGTTTTCAGGAACAACCTTTTATCTGTGGAATGATAGTTGGCGCATCTGCTAAATATTTTGAGGCATGTTTATGTTGGTAATTGGTATTTGATTTGCCTCTTGCTAAATATTTTTATTTCTAACGGAAGAGGAGAACCGGTCATACCATTTATGAAGGTTAAAGCAGTTGATGACTTGGGTGGGGCACCTATCTGTTGGGATTCTCGGCTGCCTTTGAACTTTACCTCTTGCAGCTTCAGACACCTGATTTGTCTGCAAATACTTTACGGTTTTACCTCTTGTGCCCCGGCTGAGGTGGGCTGGGATGTTCTAAATTTCAACACTCCCATACGATCGAAGTCTCATGCTCAGATCTCATTACTGGCTTTCGTTGAAGCTTCTATTTGTTACCTGGAATATCCCAAGCTTCTGTTAATGGCTAGAGGGCGTTCGAGATTTTAGAGACCCGTCTGTTTCTGGAGCAACAAAGCTTGTGGGTCGGCTGCGTTTGACTTCATGCTTTCTCTGTAGACAATTGCACAGATCTACTCAAACTGTAAAATATACAGTAACTACTGTTAAAAATATTTACAAATTTTCATTCCAATTAGGATTTCTCATATAAATAATATAGGTTTCTATGTTTATAACGTGGCAGGACAACCCTGGAAAATGGTGTCTAGCATTTTTTGGCTTTCCTCAAAGGGCCCGTTCACACCATAGTGCAGCAATAAACACTACCATGCATTTAGTACATGATATCACACAGCACAGCTACCATGCGGCGGTTCAAGCACACACCAGGCCTTGTTGGGTTTTCCCAAGGGTGTAACGACAAGCACTTGCTACTATTTGGCTTGATATCGTATCATACATAGTTTTTCCACCTGGCAAGATAACCCCAAAATAGTAGATCCCATCTCTGAAAAAATGGGAAAGGTTGGGCTTCCATGCAGGGAAGTTAAACTGATAACAGTCCTAAAGGGGGGATTCAATTTAGGGTTTTACAGTTCTACTCTTACTTGCTGATTTGGTTAACAGAATTTTTGTGCAAGCTAGGTTTGGTCTTAAGTTGATGGGCTTTTGGTAACATCAGAACTGCTTCTCTCCCCATACATGTCAATGGCAATACAAAAGTAGCTTGAAGCAGGTTGATTAAGCTTAGGAGGCCAAATGAGAAGTGACGTTAACTGGGGGTCAAATGCAGTGGTCATCGGAACAGTGTTTAAAGCTGTTCTCAACTGGTGGGTCATGACCCAAAAGTGGGTCGCCATGTGCCTTCCACTGCGCTAGGTGAGAGTCTCCTCAGTCTCCCCCCTAGCACAGCACTGTCAGTTCTCGCACCAAGCAGTCATTCAAAATATGCAGCCCGTCATTGAGTGTCAACTTTAGATGGGCTGGGAGTATGGCCGCAAGGGAGCTCCACCCATATGCGCATCACTTGTAGTTCCTTTGCGTGCCCTGTAGAGGTGCCTGGACCGGAGTGACGTCACATTTTGGTTCACAACACCTCCATAGGGCATGCAAGGATGCTGTGCAAGCAATGCACTCGGATGGAGCTCCGTCACAGCACAGCAGCCCACACTGCACACCAGGCTGAGGATCCACTTCAGTTCTCGTAAGGTAGGGAGACTGGGTGGACCTAAAAAAAATTGTCAGTGTGTGAGATTGTGTCTGTAGTTGTGTGTTTTTTGAGTGCCAGTTCACACTAGTGCAGTGCGTTAATCACTCAATCCTGTGGGAATAATGCACTGTACCATTCAATCGCACGTTCTCGTGTGGGAGGTGCGTCGCCATTTATTTGAATGGCACCCCAAACACACCTCCCACCCACAGTTCGATCGCCCCCACCACAACGTGCACTACTGCAACTTGAGTCACAACTTAATGACCAATTTCAAATGTGGGTCCTGAGGTTACACAGGTTGAGAACCACTGGTTTAAAGTACATTTTGAACCCAAAACAAAATGTAAT